TGCGGGGAACTCTGCAAAAAACGCATCTTCGCACGGGCAGCCCGTGCGTTGGCCAATTTTTGTATACATGCAAATGCAAAAACACGTATTGGCAACAGGCTGTGTATGTGTGTGTCTATGTGTTAACACTTTTTGTCGCTCACTTTCAAATCGAGAACTAGAAAAGCTAGAAAGCTAAAACTTTGACAGTGTGCGCCCACTACAAGGCGACCCTCTCGTTTTAATATTATCATTCGCGTGCGTCTCTGTCCCACATATGGATGCCTCAAAAAATGCAAATTTTTTGGCTGAAAAGCTACTTTGGGAACTAGAAAAGATGGAGGGCTGAAAATTTGCAGGGATATTCTCTGTGCATATGTGAGCTGAAGATTTCAAATTCAGCTCCTACGGGCGGGTGGTTCTATGTATGAGCATGTGAAAGTTTCCGTGGGGAAATTGCTAACTCTGCAACCAGAAAGCTGAAAGGCTGAAATTTTAAAGGTGTGTTCTCTGTCTACGTACAACTTAAAGATTTCAAATTCAGCCTTTAAGTATGCGTGGTTCTCACGTTCGGGCACTTAGAAATTTTGGCGGGAAGATTGCTCACTGAATACGTAGCTTATTTTCAAAGAACAACCGTTAAACGAAAATTATTCATTTCCTGTATGCAAAATTTACGTTGATTTAAGCCAGTGAGCGAACAAGATAAGTGTAAAATCATTGGCGATGTGTAACAGGTGAGCCCGTGTGATCATATGTTTTTGCATTTTGCGCCATAGTAAGACCGCTTGGATTCACAGTAGCTAAAATTTATGACACACTGGTTCAGGAAGTTAATTGTGTAACTAGGTGATAGCTGGACAGGGGATATTCCGTTGAAACTCCAACTCTCTAGCTTCCTATTCCCCAAGAAGCTAGGGAGCTGGAATTTTGACGTCGTTAAAGTCGTTAGACGCTCCCGCCAAAAACTTCACAGGACCGTACATGAGAACCATGGACGCCTGAGGACAAAATCTGAAATTTTTGAGTTCTGCGTGAATGGGGAGCATCCTCTCAGAATTTCAGCTTTTTAACTTTTTTGGTTCCCGAGTTAGCGGCTTTCCTGCCAAAACTTTCACATGGACGCACGCGGGGCCCAGATATGTATGAAAGTTGGTACGGCAATACTAGGGTGGCACTTCGCCGGGGAATCTGCTGGCAAAATTTTGGCGCCTGGGCTTGCTTGGTTGTCGGGTTGAAATACCCGGACAGGCCAAGTTCAAAACTCTGATGTGGTCTCACGCACCGCACAAGCATGCGCAACAGCGAAGTTTGAATCTTTGGCTCGCACATGCACAGAGAATATCCCTGCAAAGTTTTAGCTTTGTATCTTGCATCGCTCGCGAAATCGTCTCCCGCCAAAAAAATTTGCTTATTTTTTCGAGGTCCGTACATGCGGTTTAAGCGCGTATGAGCGAAACTCTTAAAACGGGATGATGACACATCTAAAATTTCAGCCTCCCAGCTTTCCTTGTTGCTGAGATGAAGGTGGGTGACAAAGTTCACTGTGTCGCTTTCGAACACACGCACAGATGACCTTTCGACAATATGCGTTGTTGCTGGCTGTAGTATTACTTTAGCGCTGCACAACAAAAACGCATATTGTAGCGACCCATGATGTGCATGTGTGTGTATCTTTTTGTATTGAAGTGTATGTTTGTGTTTTTTGTGCGTTTGTCCGGGTATTGCAACTCAACAACCAAGCAAGTTCCGGCGTTAAAATTTTGCCATTGGGTTTTTCGGCTAAGCGCCACTTCAAGACCGCGACACCAATCTTCACGCACTTCTGAGTTTCGATACGAACAAATGAAAGTTTTGGCGTGGAGGTTACCCCCTCCTTTTGAAACCAGAAAGCCAGGAAAGCTAATATTTTGAGGAGACTTCCGCATCCATTTAAAACTTAAAGGCTTCAAATTCAGCCCGCAGGTATGCGTGATTCTAACGTACAGGCCCATGTAAATTTTTAACAGAAAAACTGTTAACTCTGGAACCAGAAAAGCTAGAATGCTGAAATTTTAAGGGAATGTCTCCCATCTAGGTAACATGTAGTTGTACAATTAATTTCGATGACCAGTATGTCACAAATTCTAGCTACTGGGATTTCAAGCGATCGTATTACAACACGAAATAATGCAAAAACGCATGATCGCATGGGTCTGCCTTGTTTGCGCCGCCAATGATTCACAACAGAATCTGATTTAAAAACCAAACAACAGTGCTACGTATTCCCAAAATTACACAGTTGCGTACCCATAACAAATCTCACCCTCAGTTCTTAGAGGATTTGTAACAACATTTGCAACAGCAATCGTAAGGAGCAAATAGCAATTTGGTCCGTTCGGCCTCCATTGTAATATATCGCTTTAGCCACAACATACAGGGGCGTGTGGAGGAGGAGGGGAAGATGAGTGATAGAGGGAGGAGGAAGGGGGGTATCAGAAGAGCTACATTTTAACTAAAAATACTGGAAGCAGAGTGTTATCAATATGTCATATTTTGCAATTTGTTCAAAACAAATAACTAGCCAAGAATTGTGAATTGCAGTACCGGGTGATGGCGGAGCACAGCTGCAAGCAAAACTTACTGGGAAGCCAGAAGTGGTGCACTATTGGTGCGCCAAGAAATCCGATGATTTCTTTGACCTGTGGCTCAATCTCGAGCTGTTCTTACCTGGCGTAATTGGTTGCTGGGCGGATAATATGAAGTGAGCTTGCATTTTAGCAAAACTTCTTTATCGACCTCGAAAATAAGTTTTTTTTTTTTTTTGTTTTGGTGTGCTACCCAGTTACACGAAGCCTTTTAAAGGTTAGTATACAATACAACAACCAACAGAACATCAGACATGCCGGGTGTTATTATTCGCGTTCCGGGATTCGGCAACACAAGCACTGTGGAATGGCTTGATAACTCGAAACGCTCGGAAGGCAGATACTTCACAGATATTGTTGAAGCACTAGTGCCACTCGGATACAGGCGTGGCAAAAGCATTGTGGGCGCACCGCTTGACTGGAGACGAGCCCCGAGCATGTTTTTTATTTTTGAAAATTTTAAAATCTAGACAAGTCGACAAAAACTTCATCGATATGCCCTGAATATAAAGGGCAACAGATCAGAATTAGCTACTCAGCGCAGAAGGATCAAGCGCAGATTATTTAGAGAATGGTTTCGATTTTCTTTGACAACAATGATATTGGTTGCCTGTGGTAATCCTTGCTATAATTTCTTACGAATAATTTTTCTTCGTGATGAACCCTACAGTAATGGAACTCAGTGAGAGTGAGTCCGGATACGCTTGAAAAGTTGCTTCCGTCAAAAATTTTTGCCGATCCCAGTGCATCCGATGATTTTTGCCTTGACTGGCCCTTCAGCTTTTGAGAAAGCACCCAGCTGTAAAAGTATTGAAATGCTTATTTTTAAGCTTCGTAAAGTTTATTCCAATTTGTGAAAAACTAAACTCAGGCTGGAACGCATTAAGCTTGCCGGTGCGATCATGCGTTTTTGCACCAAACTTGAAATAATTCAGTTAACTGCATGAATGATTGTTGCTTCACACCAACCTTTCGCGCTCAATATCGTAAATTTCGCATACGCGACAATAAACAATTTCTGTTTAACGGTAGTTTTTATGCTTTTTCGCATATATGCAAACTGCAAAGAAGCAGATTGGCAAGAGGTTGTCTGTGTGTGTGTGTCTGTGTGTTCGCACTTCTCGTCACTCACTTTCAACTCGAGAACCAGAAAAGCTAGAAGGCTTAAACATTGCGAGTATGTGCCCACATCATGCTTGTTCCTAATGCTTTAATATCATCATCCGCCTGTGCCTGCGTGCCGTGTACGGAAACTACAAAAAAAATGTGCAAATTTTTTGCTGGAAAGGCGATTCCGGGAATCACACGTGCTAAGGAGCGAAACTTTGTAGGGATATTCCCTGTGCATGTACTAAAAGTTTCAAATCCATCTCCCAGGTATTTGTGGTACTCACGGAAGGGCGTATGAACGTTTTGACGGAAAAATTACTAACTCGGGGATCATGAAAGCTAGAAAGCTGAAATTTCGAAGCAGTGTCCCCTGCCCAAGTACAATTTAAATATTTCAAATCCAGCCCTCAGGTATGCGTGTTTCTTACGTCTGAGCACGTGGGAGATTTGGAGGGGAAAATTGTTAACTTGGCAACCAGAAAAGCTGGAGGCTAAAATTTTAGGGGGATGTTCACCGTCTAAGCACATAAAGATTTCTAATCCAGTTTTCCAAGTGCGTGAGATGCTCACATACGGGCATGTGAAAATTGTTCACTGAATAGCTAGGTCACTTTCAAAGGACGACCGTTAGATGGAAATTGTTCATTTACTTTATGCAAAATCTCTGGTGATTTACGCTAGTGAGCGCAAAAGGTAAGTGGAAAGCAACCTAGGCTGGAACGCACCAGGCGAGCTGGAGCGATCATGCGTTTTTGCACAAAACTTGA